CTCCTTTGAATGGCTTTGGATCCTTTTCCACCATGTCCATGAAAGACTTCTTCTTGCGTTTCTTGTCGCCGTTGCGGTGTTCGTTTTCGCCTGCTTCGACGGCGCGTTTCGCTGCGGCGGCGGACAGCGCCGCGGCGGCCGCGAGCGTGTCGTCGGGCGTGTGGATGACGGTCGTCTTCTCGGCCATGTCGACGTGGCTCAAGCTTTTTTGTGGTTGTCCCGCCGCCCGATCGAGATGAGGCTCGTGCTCGAGGTGAGTGGCCTGGTGGAGGCCCACTCCGGCCTGCGACATGCAGGCGCCCGCAGCCCGGGCTCCGGCGCGAGGGCCGCATCTTCGGGCACGGCTTCGTGCGCTGCGTGTCGACGGCCGAGAGCTCGGCGGATACGAAGAAGAAGCACCCGGAGTCCCAAACATCAATCAAACGCCGCTCAAGGCTGCCCGCGCCGGCGCGGGGCGGGGCCACCGCCGCACGGCGACGCGCCGCAGCCCGGATCGTCGCGCGAGCAGCGCCGCGACGCCCTCGAGGCCGCCGGCACGACCGCGACGTCGAGGGACTCGGGCGACGACGAGGCGGGCTGCCGTCGAGCCCACCTCTTGCAAAGGAGAGCACGAGCTACGGCTCGCGCCAACAGCGCGTCGCCGCGCGCCACAGCGCTACATCCCAGCCATCGCACACGTGCGCGCCGCTCCTCTCAACGCCAAACCCGTGCACTGCGTCAAGTGGCGCACGGGGTCGTCGAGCTCCGACACGAGTCGCTGCGCGGAGGCGCGACCGGCGGAACCGCGGCGCCGTCGGCGCGATGCCGTGCGTCGGCGCCTGCGCCGGGTCGTCGTCGCTGACGTCGGCGACGTCGCGAGCGGCGACCGGAGGATCGTCGACTACGCCTACAAGATGGTCGTCTTCGAGGACACGGTGGGCAACGGCCCACTCTTCTTCTCGGGCCAGCTCCGGGAGCACTTCTTCGAGGTGCAGGTCGTGCGCGACTCGAAGCCGTCCTGGGTCGCCGAGAACGAGATGCCACTCGTGCGCGAGTTCGAGCTCATCGAGGAGCGGGAGTACGCGTCGACGGGCAAGGACCAGCGCCCGACGTTCGAGTCGCTCTACGGCACGTTGCCCAGCTACTACGACGAGGAGCGCGACGGCGAGGAGCGCGACGGCGAGGAGCGCGCCTGCGGCTGCAGCGCGGCGCAGTCCGCCGCGCCTGCGCGCGCCGACCGCGGCCGCGGCTGCAGCGCGGCGCAGTCCGCCGCGCCTGCGCGCGCCGACCGCGGCCGCGCCGACGCGCGCGCCGTCCGCATCGCGCCCTACGACGAGGCCTCGTCGTAGAACGCGAGGGCGCCGGCGCCGTCGGCGCCG